AGACGCGGAGTTGGGTACCCGCAGGGCGTAGAAAAACGCGAGGGTCGACCTTGGCGTTTTTGATGTTGTGACGCGGGGTTCGACCCTGGCATTTTTGATGTTGTAACGCGGGTTCGACCTTGGCGTTTTGATGTTGAAACACGGGGAGGACCTCCGCGTCTTGCCTTGCAGAGATTATCACCAAGTAATCTCTTTTTGTCATAGCGTTGCAAAGATCATTGTCTTATAATCTTCGTCTTGGCTCCTTGAGAATATGAGAGTTGTCAGATTGTAACTCCCGATGTTGATTGTGAAGGCTATCTTTCTGTCAGAGTATTGCTAAAGACTGTCGTTTTGTAATCTTTGCTTTAACTCTTTGACATGTGAAAATCTTCGAATTGTAGCCTTCTGGAAGTCGTCAGATTGTAACTTCCATCATCGGTGTTTGATGGGGGATAAGCTATCTATTGTGATTTTTAGACAGCCTACAGAACCCCCTCCAAAGTTTTCGAAAGTTCGCGGTTGACTGGGACGAATTTTCGGAATACTTTGGATCTCAACTCTGATCCTGGAGCTGTTGATTCCTTGTCGTAAAGGAGTCGTTCTCTGCACTCGCTTCGAAGGCATCTTGGTTGAAGGGATTTGCCACGTAGGACCTTTGTGAAGGTATGCGTCATAATCTTGCTTCTGGAATGCGGGGGTGGACCCCATGTGTTTTGAATTTGAGACGCGAGGCTGACTTTGGCGTTTTGGATTTGAAACCCGGGTGTGACCTCAGCGTCATGATTTTTGTAACGCGGGTCTGACCTCGGCGTTTTGAATTTGGAACCCGGGTGTGACCTCGGCGTCATGATTTTTGTAACTGACCTCGGCATTGTGGTTTTTGCGACGCGGGTCTGACCTTGGCGTTCTGACTTAAAACGCGGCTATGACCTTGGCGTTTCGATGTGAGACGCGGAGGGTGACCTTCATGCATTTTGACTAAGTCTTTGAGACTTGTCTTCAGCTTATTCGTTTCAAGTCTTGGCTTACATCCATTAAGCTGGTGGGCCTTTAAACATGCATAGGATTTTTGGCAAACCCTCAGCCATCAACGGATTTGATAAGCCTTTGCCGACTACCGTTTGAGTCGGGCTAGCATATGGATTGTCTAAGTCTGTTCCATATGTAACGTTGTGCTAAGAGAATGAACCCTCTTAGACTTGATGCTATGATTTTTAATACATAGACTTTGTCATTTTTACGGAAAAAGACTAACCGGCGACGCGTGTTAGGCGTAGGCTTATCCCTACTTAGGATTTGGGATAAGGTTCCCCATGCGTGTAAGACATGGATTTTGGCGTTATTAATAACGACCCGCTACGATGTTGAATACGTAGGCTTTGCTATTATTACGGGAATAGGTTACCCGGCAGCATGTGTTAGATGCTGACTTATCTCTCAGCATATGTTAGATGCAGACTTATCTCTAATCAGGGATCGAGATAAAGTCCCCCATGCGTGTGAGGCATGGATTTCGGCGTTATTAATAACGACCTGCTACGATGTTGAATACGTAGACTTTTGTCCTTTTTACGGTCAAAGACTCACCGGCAACGCGCATTAGGCGTTGACTTATCCCTTCTTAGGATTCGGGATAAAATTCCCCATACATGCAATGTATGGATTCAGAGATTATCAATTTAATGATAATCACTGGCTACGATATTGAATACGTAGACTTTGTCACTGTTTCTTCCTGTGTTATTCGAAACACTGAAAGAAAATTAGAAGTGCCAGAGGTGTAATATTAACTTGGCATGAGTTTTCACTTAGAGTGAAATTCAGAAATTTTCTTTATTATCACTAGGATAATTCCAGAAAATCTTTAATCCACTGGGGATTTTATAATAAAAACTTGCTATTCTTGTTGAAAAAAAGGATTCAAGTTCACTAGGGGGTTTGACTGTTAGAGGTGTGATGTTAACCTAACAGTATTTTATGGGCTTATCGCTCTATTGAAGAGAGTCGATAAGTTGATTGTTGCGATCAAGGCAACTTTGAGGACCTATCGCTCTATTAGAGAGAGTCGATAAGTGGATTGTGTCAGAGGTGTGATGTTAACGTGACAGGAGGATGTTGCGATTGGAGCAATGAGTTTATCATCAGGAACAATGAGTTTTGATACCTGTGATTTGAATTCGATTTTGAAGACTTAT